AAGAAAAAGCCCCATATGACTATGAGCTTTGGCCTCCTCCCAACTTTCCCATTAAAGTCTACTTCGCATATTCCAGAGTTATTTCTTTTTTGAGAATTTGCACTTAAACCTGTGTCTTATCTTTCCAGATGCCTTTTGAATAGTGAAAGAATGCCTGATTCACAAATCAGTTATAAAAGAGCTCAATTTTAATTTTCTAGAACTGTTCAGACTCACCCGATTAGGGTCTATACCATTGACCTGGCGAAGTTGCTCGAGCATCCACTGCGTTCTCCTGACAAAAGACGTAGAGCCTTCAAATTGCTTCACCTTTGTAATAGATGCTTGAGCTGGTTTCTTGTTCGTCACTGAACATATAAAAGAAAAAAAATACAACTGAAATGGTCTTAATGTTTCAGGAACGTGCGGTTTAGTTCACTGTATCAGTAGCTGATTTGCTAGTGTATCTTCTATAATGTCCCACAACGTAAACACATGTCACTGAGTCTGACAGTAGAACACATTCCCTTTCCTGGATAACATACTGAAAAGCACATTCCTTACTGTCAGAATGATGGCAGGATGCCAAACAAGCATTATACTACTCAAAATTGGATATATTTTAGCCATTATCAGCTTAAGTTGCCAACACCCTGTAGAAAACAAAACTAAACTGAAGGTCTTTCCATCTGCATTCTTATAGTTACCTTACTGTTCTCTTTTCCCCACACTAATTAGCAGAGGTTTCTCATACCCAGCCTCTTATTAATTTTTCTCTTCTTGTCATTTTAGACAAGAGAACACACACACACAAAAAAAGACATCTCCATGTAAGTATAAGTCCATTTATGTACTTTTTTAAAAAAAAAAATCTGTTACTTTAGACTGACTTTCATGATGGTGACTGAAAAAAAAAAAAAAAAAAAAAGGTTTCTCCAGCCTTTTCACAACATGTCACACATAGGTCACATTTGTATACCACCACCACCATCTGTGACATTCAATTCCCAATTTCCAGTTTCCAGTCAACAGACATAAGTATATGCACCTACTGCATTGAGAAAGTAAACCCACCCAATCAGACAATAGTCTGTGAAAAATACAGTTGTAAGAATTAAGGAACTAAAGATCGCTCAACCCGCCCCCTCCCCCCCAAATATTAGGTACCACAAAGAACATAAATAAGAACAATCGTACTTGTTATAAACAAAATATATGTTAAAAACCACAAAGTCAGTCATGCAAGACAGCTCTGCTTTTGGGGAGGAAAAAAAAAAAAAAAAGCATAAAACACTCCAATTGCTGTATCCTTAACTCAGCATCAGGTTTTCAAAGAGTACTTAAACTTTAAAGCTAACTTTTCAACAGCAGGAAAATTGGCTTCCAGTATTAGACTTTTTCTCTAAACAAACAAATTTTCTTTTCATCAGGATAACTTTTAACCTCCATGGAAGTTTTATAAGCAGTTTTAGGCACTTTCTATAGTCATACCCTGTATTTTATTTACATATTATTTATCTGTAGCTGTATGTTAAGTCACTTCCAAACACATTTCTACCTTCTGTGAAGAAATAATTTCTAGAATCATTGTACTGCACTATCTACTAAAAATAATTTGTCATTTATTTTTCTTCTTAAACTCTTTATTTCCAAAAATCCTTTTATCCATATGGTGCTCCAAAAAGAATATTATTGGAAAAGTCACTTTTCTCTGCTTTTAGATGCTGGCAGTTAAAGAAAACTTTTAAAATGATCAAGACTTGAATAGCAAGACTGCTTATTTTTGTGCATCCCCTTTACCCAAATAAATCAGGAAAACTAACAGGCTTGCCACTCTGAAGACGCATGCTGCATACACTTCGGCACTCAGGGGCACAGTTATACAGTAAGTAAATAGTGATGTAATACCTCATCATTCCATGAAGTTAAAAAGTTAATATTGTTTCTTAGGATGAAAATTTACCAATGCACAGATCACTGTCTTGATGTTAAATGTACTTTGGAATAGATTAGCAAATTCAGATCAATATGAAAAGTTCTTTTCAATGTCTCAGATTTATACATTTTTAGTTCAGTGTGTGTCTGTGCATGTGAACGTCCAAGCACCTTTATGAGAACTTAATTTAATAAACAGAAAATTCATTTCCAAAGAAATTTTAATAGGTTAAAAAAAAAAAAATCACATATTAACATGCCACGTGGCAGATAATTGTTTTTAAGAAGTTACTTTGGAATAGAAAGCATAGTTGGACTCAATATATTGACCAGACTATTGATAAAAATGTAATAAACCGATCGCCAGAAGTCTCTTAATCAGCAGCTGAAGCACTGAGAACCAAATCGGTGCAGTATGATATTCAGAATCGCACATCAAATGGTACAGAACAGAGAAAATCAATGTAGTACCAGAAAGGTAGCAACAAAATTAGATCAACTACTGAAATGCAATGACTAGATATTACTAAGAAGTGAGATCAAAGATTCATTGGTTGCTCAATGGCTTATGCACCCAAGCCTAACAATATCAATAAAGCAGATGTGACAGGCATCCTATCTGTACTCATAGTATATACAGGTTCTGTTTTTATTGCAAGATTACACACCACTGAGTAGGAAACAAATTCAAAAGTTACACAGGCAGACCACAAACTCATGTCCCTACCTTCCCTGAACCCTTTCTAATACTTACTCATGTCTTTTTTGCCAACCCCAGTGATCGCTTCGACAGACTCTATAGCGCTCCACTGGACCGAGTTTCACATATTTTCTACAAAGCAGTAATAATAGAAGGCTATTTAACAGTGGCTCAAGATTTATGGTCTGTGGATTATTCCCTTTCCACACAAAACACACAATAATCTACTGCTGAGTGAGCCATGTATTAAAAGGAAAAATTTGTGTATACTATACATAAGCCACATATAGAATTAACACTAGTAGCATTGCAAAACAAAGCATTCAAAACCAGGAAGCACTAGACAGAAAAATTATGTGATCAAACGTTATTTTTCCCGCACAGAATCTCATGGATAATCAAGTATGAGATGTATTGCCTTATACTTTAATACAGTAAACCTTTCACTGCTCTGAAGGCTTCTATATGGCATACATTCTAGTGCTCTTAAAAACAGGGGTCATTTCAAGGTGAAAATATCAGATTTTACAGATATGATAGTCAAACACTAAATGTCTAATCTCAATATCTCCATAAATTGTTTGGCTGATTTGACATATCCAAAATCTAATTCTCCAAACCTCTCTATATAGCACTTTTAATAATCAATGAATAGCAGCTTTGTCTTCAACTGGAGCTGAAGACTCCGTACTTTCGCAAAAGATCACATTAAGTACCTAAACTTCGTAAACTCTTGAAAATACATATTAGTGATCAACTATAAAAACATCTTGATTAGATGACTGTTTCTATATCATCTACCACACAGTAAGTCTGGGAGAGGCTGAGAGGGCTCTTCTTCTACAGAAGAGCTTATAAGGGTCTTAGGTATCTCAGTCATCTTGGGAAGAAATTCAATTAGCTGATGTGATCCTCTTGGAAAAACAGCAGTTCTCCCTTTAGGTCTCACACTTGTAACTATGATGCACAGCCAAACAGATCTAGTTGCATTTCACCTTTTATGTCTTGGCATTTTAGGAAAAAGCCAGCATTTCCAGAACATTCAAAAAACCAGCTACCCGCAAACCCACCAAATGTGCTTCATTTAGTCCCTGACAGCTTGATAGTAGTATGGCAGTCATTTCACTCTGTGAAACCCTTTGGCAGCTGGGAAAACCATCCTCACTAGCTGCTCATTAAGTTGCTTTGCAAACTAGAGCACTTCCACACAAGCCACCAAGTGGGTATTACCTTGCGAACATGGAAGAAGTCTTTTCTTAAGTTTGAAAAAAAGTGGATGCAATTACATGCTCCTAGCCACATTCCCTCTCTGACAGGTCATTCAGATGTGTTTGCTAAAATCTTCCACAATCATTATCTACCTTAATGAAACAAAAGACAATATTTAAGTTATGCTTCAATTTTAGGTGGGGTTTTTTGTTTGCTTTGCTCTTTTTTTCTTTTGTAACAGAATTTAATGTTACACCTTCAAAAGATGAAGCTGTAGTAATGTGGACAAAGCACATTTATTTGGAAACCATCAATAGATGGTTGGTCCATACGGTATTTGCGTGTCATCAGATGCAAAAGGAACATACGGTTATTGGCAAAGTAAGAAAGAATGTCTGAGAAGTCAGCTACAGCAATTTATGATGGAAGACATTGAGGCTTTTTGGGTTTTTTTTAACACTAAATTAACATACAACTACAAGTCACCACGTCAGAAACAGTACTATTTCTTCTGGGACTGAAGACATTATTAACGGTTTTACATCGTAAATAAAATAAGTTACAGTACTAAGTTTCAAAGAGGTTGTTAAAGCTCGAGAGGCTCGCATTTAACTGAAATACTCTCATTTCAAAAGCAGATCAGAGAATACGAGGCAGAAATAGTCAGTCAGAATTAGCTTTAGAGAATGCTGTAACAGTCAGGAAAGTCACTGTTCTCATCATTTGGAACACATGGAAACAAACATATTTGAATTCCAGACCTCAGCTAGGATCCAGTGCCATGTGCGTGTCTAGCATCTATAGCAGCAAATCAATACAGCTTTTCACACAGAAAGCTAAGGGAGACTAAAGTCACAGTCCAACTTCATCTCATCTGCAGTCCAGAATATATTTTCTTTACTGTTTCAGTCTTCTAAAGTATCTTTACTCAAATGGAAAAGAGAAAATAATGAAAAATGGTTAATTCCCTCAATAGCCACCCCAAAATACTTGGCCTTGAGAAACAGTATGTAAGCTCTAAACCACCGCACTATGAACTTCTATTTATTTTATCAGATTTGAAATGCATATTTAAAAAGCTATGTCTGTCCTTGAAGTCTTGACTCTGAATATCTGTGTTTGTTTTGGATGTTCTTTAAGTTTGGATCTGTGTATTTAACAACTCAAACTCTAGGTAATTAGGAATCTTATGACAAATGGCTTGATTGTCTCACAAAATTTCTATTCATATTGCATTGTATTTCTAAAGTGCTGAATGACTGAAATAACTACTGAAGGAAGAAATTAAAAAGTACAAAGTCGTGAAGCAGGCAGTGACTGCTGTAACTGTTCACATTATAACAAGATTTTTTTTTTTTTAAATCTGGGCACTGGACAGATTAATAAATTAAGCAGCCTTAACTTTTATTGCTGCTGTGTCACTAGCTCTTGGTGGTGGTGGGGGGGTGGGAGTAGTGCAAATGAAGTAAGATCACTCAAAAAATTACTTTCATCTATGAAATTTTTTCATTTGTGAAAGTAACA